TATGAAATTAAAACTCTATGTTGTAATTCAAAAAAATAAAAAGCTTAAAAAATGATAAGGATAAAAAATATTTAAAAATATAATTTTTAATAAAAACATTGGTTTTTTAATAACTTGAAACTATGTAAAAAATATTTTAAATAAAGTTAATACTTTTTTAAATAATGAGTGTTGTTTGATAAATCAATCACCCTGTATAGTATCAAATATATACCAATACAGTTATGGCAAATGCAGATAGTCAATAGCAAAAAGAGTTAAACTAAGATTAACTCGGATGAAAATAGGAAAGAATATAAACAGGGAAGAAAAGAAACTCATGCAATCATTAGAAGAGAAAAAAGACTACCTATATATGAAAAAGTTAATCTCAATTGTAGAAGAGAATAGAAAAAATCCAAGACAGTTATTTGAAAGAAGTGGAAGGATTAAACAAGGATTTAAATCACAGGCAAATATGATGATAAATGATAACAAAGAACTGGTAAGAGACAAAAAAAAAAATAGCAGAGATGTTTAAAACCCATTTTGAGAACCTCCTGAATAGACCCGAAAGTATATCAGATGAGAGAGAAGACATGATTACATGATGTAGAACCTAATATAGTAGAACCCAATTGAGAAGAAATAGCAAAGATAGTAAATTCACTTAAAAACAATTAATCACCGGGAGAAGACCAGATAACAGCAAAGCTATTGAAACATGGAGGAAAACAAATGTTGGATAATGTGCATAAGGTAATTATAGAAATCTGAAAAACAGAAACCATGCCAGAGGAATGGAATACAGCAATCATTTTCCCAATATACAAAAAATGAGAACCAATGTTACCTGAAAACTACAAAGGAATATCTCAACTACACACAGGTTAAAAAATACTGGCAACACTTATAATGGAACGATTAAACTCTTATGTAACAGACATAATAGGGGATTACCAATGCGGATTCAGGAAGGRTAAATCGACCATATACACACAATTCGACAAATGGAAGAAAAACATTATGAATATAATAAAAATCTGCACTTAGTTTTTGTAGATTTTAAACAAGTACTCGATTCGATAAGCAAGAAAGAACTATAGGAAACAATGAAAAACTTTGGAATACCCCAAAATTACGTAGCCCTAGTCAAAATGTGCAACAGTAACATCAATTTTAAGGTACGATTCTGKCAAGAAACGTCAACACAATTTAAAGTACAGACTGGCCTCCGCCAAGGYGATGCATTATCTCCAATGCTATTCAACATAGCCCTGAAGAAAGTGATAAGGGATATATCAGAAGATCTGAAAATGAACTTCGGAGAATTGAATGTTCTATTGGCATATGTTGATGAATGATGACATTCTCATAATGGGAAACTCAAGAGATGATGTTATACAAACCATTTGAAAATTGCTGAAGACGAGCAAGAGAATGGGATTAAATGCGAATTAACAGATAAACAAATATATGTTTATGTCACGAACAGAGGCAGATAACTCAAATCTAAAAGTAGATAATCTCACTTTCGGCAAAGTTAATTAATTCACGTACCTCTGAGTAAACACGAACCAGTGGCGTAATTTGGCCATGTTTGTGGGGGGGGGGGATAAAATGTTTTAACATTTTACCTATACCCCCCCCCATAAAAAAAATCAAAAGTATTTATTATAAGCACCTTTAAAAATTCAGAGCAATATATTTATGTACACATAAGACATGGAATAAATTTCGATTAATTGTACAAATCGATAAGTTATTTTTAGTTCAATAGGACTACGGAA